GCTGACTCAAGTTTTAGACACCATGTTAGTGGAACCATATCAAATATTCAGTATTATTCAATCAAATAATTAATACTTTAAACTTATGTTTTGCCTCCATATGATTATAAGTTCATCAAACTTAAATGAGGCAAACCATTATTGAAAACACTGAAACTGTACTCTATGGTTATGAGCAATATGTAAACAGAGAAACTTGGGTTACAATATTTACAGTTACAGTTAATAAAGTGATATTTTTCTCAACTATAATAGCATGATTTGTACGTGATATTTGGCATAAATACCTCTCAAGATGTTTCAAAATTGTCTCAAATTTCACTCGCCTAACGGCTCGTGAAATTACGTATAACAATTTTGAAACATCACTCGTGGTATTTATGCCAAATATCACTACAAATCATGCTATAACCTATATTAATTCTTAAGCAGCTGAGGTTCAACTTAATCCTCAGAACACTGAGTGCATTTTGAAGCATTCTAAGTTTCATATGTCTTGTATATGTCTTGACTTAACTCATGACATATACTTTAGGCACTCCTTGGTGGGCTTTCCCTCCTTAACTGACCTTGTCACTTCAGCCATGAATGGATGACCACAATAGTAGCACTTTTCGTTGCATTCAGCCTTAGCAAAACCATAACAGGGAGGGTTGATGAATAGGCAGCCAAAGTTTAGTGATGTAGTCATGTCAGAACACCTGGGGCCAGCATTCTTTGAAAAGACTGTTTTTCGGGTAACTAGCAATCTGGACATACTTTGCCTCCCTTCCCTGCATTGTGTTTACACCAAGACCAGGTCCTTATTTGTCAAACATCCACCGCGTATGAACTGGAGCTAGATGCCCAATACTCCAGACTGTGCCTGAAACTTTTCCACTGAAAAGGACTACTGCTTTGAAGTAATCAGGACTTATTTCTTGCAACTCTTGGACAGCTGGAGGGGTGATATGATACATAGAGAACCTTGAAGCACAGTCTCTCAACTTGATTGCTATAAAGACATTGTAGACCAGCTTCATGAGTAATGTAGGGTTCTCTGATCCCTCTTGATTGCATCTACCAGAAACATGAAACCATGCAGAACAAGTCTAGAGTCTTTCCCAGTGAGTCTGTAGGAAAAGTCTTTGTCTTTGGACCTGTCTTCTAAAATCCACTTTTCTAGTTGTTTCTTTAGGCGCCCAGTTTTCACATCGGACTCTAATGCTTTTAAGTACCTGGAAATTACACTTGACAGAGGTAGATTTGACAAGCTGCTGATTTTGTCTGGGAGGTTACTCGATGAAATTGCCAAGTCCAAAAGCATTGAATGCAGAGGTTGCACTCCATTATTTTGTAAATGGAGGGGCTCCACAACTTCTTTATCACAAAGATTACCAATTAAAGGGTCAAATTCTTGCCTAGAATTCTTGTTTGCAATGAATCGTGTTATCCTGGTTCTCTGTGTGGACTTTGCAAGGTTGGAGGGAAGGTTATCTTTAAACTTTAAAACCTGCTT